AAACAATGAGTGCAGGTAAGTATGTGTGTGTTAAGTATATCGTGCATCTAGAGTAATTTTTAGAGTTGGTCTTTTTTTAATAATGCTTTTGAAGGTTGTTGCATAATGAATCTTGCCCTCTCCTAATATTTGTAATCATGTGGTAACCTGTTGCTTCTGAGTCTGAAGTTTGGAGGGAAAATTATATCTCTTTTCCCAGTCGATGTATAGTGTAATTGAGGTAATATATGTTATCTTAAAGTTGCGATGTTAAACGCCGTTTAAAACAATAAAAGAGAAATTATACTTGGCACCAGATTATGATCACGAATTGATACAATACCCTTGGAAGTTTTGCTTATAAGTTGGTATGCCTGTAAAAGGGTTGAGCATTCCACCTTCTCATCATATAATGATCAAAATCAAATAGGCCTTAGTATGATATTAAGAGATTCGATGTAACTCTTATAGGGAGACAAGTTTTGTCCTGTTTTTAGTCTTAGTTGTTTCTCGGGTAGAGCGCTGGCGAAGTTTTCGAGAGAAGTATTATTTGAATGTGCTACTCCAGGAATAATTTTTTGTGGTCCTATAGATTAATCACTTGGCGGGCATTTAGGACAACCAAGAGTTTCTGTCTAAAGATCGATTTTAATTAACATTATATGGACGTGGTGTGATAAAACCTAGTATTAAACGTCGAGTTTATGAACATCGCTTTTGTTCTGGAAAGAAATGAGCTTTTTACTGTGGAATGAACCACATACTTATTAAGGAATGATTAGCGATAGACTGATAAGGATCGATCGGGTCCTTGAGAATTAACTTTGAAACGAGTAGAAGTTGAGGTGGAAGAGTCATGACCTAGAGCTTGCATATAATTCGTGACCAGGTGTTGCCATGGGGGCGTGGGGTTAAGCTGTGCCGATACGTCCTGGCTTTAGGAAGAGCTTAGTGAGTCCTGGGCGTAGTTCCAAGACACGTGGTGTAGTAGTTGTTGAATTGTCGATGGTGACAGGAAATTAACCAGTGTCAGTCCTGTAGTATGCGGGTCATACGTGGATTGACCGGCTACCGAACCGATACCAGGTCCTCGCGCGCGTTTGAGCGGTTTCAACGTGGGAGTCTCTGGTCTGGCTCGGGGCGGGCGTGCCGACTGCCTGCTAGTGACACCGTGCAGGCGCAAGTTGCGCAGCGCCACTCGGGCCGCGAGAAGCTCGCGTGGAGTGCCCCGGTGTAACGCCTCGTGGAAGTCGGGCGTGAATTCGTGGGCTGCGCTGAGGGGAGCCACACGCACAGTCATGGGGTTGACCAGGCTGGGCGGTTTTGGTGGAGTTGCGTGCGTGCTGTCGCTGACTGTTCGGTGGCACGGACGAGGGATCTGGTGGTGTTCTTTTTGGATCGGACGCGGGCGCAGGATCTTTATGATAAATCCGACCAGTGTACGTTGGAGTTTCGGCGGGGTATCAGACCGCCCGCCGGGAAGGCGGAGCGCGATCGCAGGGTGCAGCCGTCCTGTGAGCGGCATCCCGGCGGATTAATGGCGGGAATTGAAAACTTTAGCAATAAAACAATAGAAAATGTGGCATAATGAGACAGCATGCACATGCGTACAGGAGTAAGGTCTCTGTTCATGGACAGTTCAAAAATAATGATGATATCAGTGTGTTTAAATTAAGTAATATTGTCTTTATTGGTGAGGTGGGATATGAGTATCTATCTGCTGAGTCCACAGACGACGCAGCTGCTTGGGTCGAAGATGTTGTCGATTCAGGTGTAGCTAGCGTAACAATGACGACGTGGGAGTGAAGACAGTGGATGAGAGAGATGATAGAGAAAGGAAAAAGATAGAGCAAGGAGATGAGGGATGTACTGAGAAGAGAGAGAAAAGAGGTCGTGAAGAGAGGTGAGAGCGAGAGTGAGAGAGAGGATAGATGATGATATAATAAAGAGAGAGAGGGAGAAGGATAGTAGGCATGGGATGAGATAGGGTTAGTCAGGAGAGAGGGAGAGTAGAGAGTAGAGAATAGGAAGCAATTTGGATTAACTACGAGATGTGAATAGAGAGAGGCAGAGAGAGAGAGAGAGTTGGAACTTTTTTGTTCTTGAGGCCTTCAGTTTGTGTTTTTCAGGCCTTACACAATTACACTACATTTCAGCCAAACCAGCATAGGAACACCAGCTTTGTTACAGGCGACTGTTTGGAAAGTATGAACTTCAGTACCCAGAAGTCCTGTGAGGTGATCCATTGATTTAAAAAGTCAGTGTCCTTAAATGCACCATCATGGAAAGGATTCACAATACACACTGATAAAGTATGTGCTGTGGTGGTTTATCTATCGGCAGAAAGCTTTATATCTCTGCAAACTGATTTTCTTGCAAAAGAACTGAAACCAACAGCTGCTCATATGGAAGGAAACCATAGAACAGGCTGATCATGGATTTCTTGCTATTGTACCTTAAAATCAGGCGAGAAGACTGCAGCTAAAGCAGCCTTTTTATTTTTAAAGTAAGTTCTGACCTATTGTTTTCTCTACATAGGATAGGGTGTAGTTAGAATGATGCTTTGGCCTCATAACTGTCTCAGTCTAATTATCTCTTTGGCCAGAGCTGCTCTCTAATTTTACAGTCAGAACTGAAGATAAAATGGAAGTCACGCTGGATATCAGTATGGATAGACTCAATATGTTCCAGTTCTTTCAGGTTATTACATGTTCTGTAAGTAACTGTTCCAAGATCATATTTTTTTTATCTGCTTTAATTGTTTTACTGTTCAACACTGGCCAAAAGATAGAAACATGTTGTCATGGGTATCTGTCGGATTTATGGTATTAAAACCTGTAGGCGTCTGTAGCTACTGTACATATACGTGGAACCTTGTTCAGAGGTACTGTACAATACATTCAAGATGCTTTTGTTTGGTTTTATTGGAGAAATGACGCCCCCTGTCCCCCGCTGAGCACTCAGGATGCTTTAAAAAAAGCTGAAATTGAAGCACTTACCAACTGAGAAGTTTCCTCTTCTCAGAACACTGTAAAACACACAACCAGCCACCCACATGCTGCACGTCTCTCAGTCTCTCTCTCTCTCTCTCTCTCTCGCTCTCTCTCTCACACACACACACACACAGATTCAGTTTCCCTTTAATGCATAAACAGGCCTACTTTGCACAGGTTATGTTCACATATAAGTCACTTCAAATGAGTTTCAGTCATTTAATATTTTAACTACTACTGAAGGAATTGCCATGAAATTTGGTTCAGACATTCATGGTCCCCAGAGGATTAATCAGTCTTACTGACATTGATGATCCTCCGAGGTCAACATTTTAAGTACGAGGTCAACATTTTAAGTACTTTGGTGTATGAATAAATACAGACAATGAAAATGGCATTCTCATCAACCTCAGCTGTACTAATTAGCAAATGTTAGCTTGCTAACATGCTAAACTAAGACGGTGGACGTGGTAAACCTGCTAAACAACAGCATTTTAGCATTATATATCATTGTGAAGATGTTAGCATGTTGACATTAGCAATTAGCTCAAAGCACCGCTGTGCATGAGAAGAAAACAGCACACTGTCTGTGAGCCCTCGTTTGAACCCTTAGCATGTTTACAGTTTGCTTGTAGTTTTGTTGCTTAATGTACAGTTCTGTAATTAACCTGTTCATTTCCCCCCGGAGGAACAGCTAGAGCATCTGCTAACTATCAGCTGCTTCATCCACCATGATGACTGTAATTTCATCTGCTCAGCGTCAACGTCGAATTTAGAGGACATTTTTTTTTTTATGTTTACTGCAAAATCTCGGAAAATTATGGAACCTGGTAGATGTCAGGGTGAAGATATTTTGTTATGACTAGTAATTCTTGCCCTCAAAATTTGAAATCATTCCCACTACCACTTTGTGTGTGAAATATGTAAAATAGTCCCGTCAAATGAATTAAGTGTAATTATCCTTATTTGAGTTGTCCTAATCCAACACCTTCGCCATTGGCTTGGTCGAATTTAAAAGAATATTAATTCACCAGTAGTTCTGTGCTGTGTTTTTCCACAGAAGAAAAATAAATAAATAAAATAATGTGAAAACTTGCTGAACAATTCTGTTAAGCCACAGAGAAAGTGAAATTAGCCTATGAGACACTAACGCTTTCTGACTTTGTATTTCCAAAGACATCTTGGGGATATTCTCGTTATACAGTGAGAGTTTCTCAATGTCTCCATCTAGTTGCCATTCACGGAACTTCAGCTTAAAACACCTATTTGGCTGTGGTGATTGCCACTTTTTTATTTGTAACTACAGATATTAGTCTGTAATTGAGTTTATGTATTTTTAATTCGTGTTTTTTCCAATAAGAGTATTGGAAAAATAACTACAGATATATGTTCTTAAAGAGTTAAGAACATATATCTGTAGTTATGAGGATAATATGAAAAAAAAAACTTTAATGGGATTGTTTATACTGCTGAATCCTTCAGATTGATTTCAGCCTAGGGTTACATCTGGTTACACCGGGGTTCAGTGTAGCAGGAGAAATGTGAATGCTACCTCCATTAGCAGTAGGTAGCCACGCAGCTAGCCTGCAGCAGCAACACGTGTGCGTGGTAGAATCTTTATATTTAAGGAAAAAGTGATCAAGCTGAACAAGAGCTCCTTTATTATGACATTTGTGTAAAGATCAAAGGCAGGCTGACTTTATCGCAGTGCTCTGCAGTTCCCTTTCAGGAATACAAGGCAGCAGCTGCTGTCTCCAATGAGAAGCAGGTGTCGGCCTGATCTGAGCGATTTATACAGCTTCATAATGAGGGCTGGCTGCCTGGAGGGGCCTCCTGCACACAGGACACATAAAGAGCCATGGAAACACCAGAAACAATAGTACTGGCCTTCATCAGCACCAACATCATCATCATAACCTTTTGTGTGTGTGTGTGTGTGTGT